AAGAGAAAACTTTAGATTTGGATTATCACAATCTTGAATATGTCAAAGATCAGCAGCAACATTATTTCTGGTGCATTTAAAGGAGCTGCAGAATTGCAATGCATGCTCCTTACAGATGTAATCACCATCATTCGGCTGCGAACAAAACGGGTTTGCAGTCGGTCACAAGTTTTCTCCACTCTGTTCGATTACTAGCAGCTCTTCGCATCTCGTCAGCTGTTGGTGGCATGTCATTGTTGATTAGTTTGCCGATGTATGTATGGTATAATGTGTGTGGCTTTCCTCGGCTTCGTTCTTTGGGTGCATATAACACATATTTGTTAATTTGGTCATTTGGGTCTCTTCTAAGTGAGTGGCCGACAAAGCGTAGCTGCCTTGGATTTGAAGGATAAGGTGGTTCTTTTCGACGGCTTTGTATACAGCTTGGTTACTTATTCGATCCATCTTCTTTATGCCAAGATTCTGTAGCAACTGGTGGCGAAGCTGTTGAGTGAGTTTTGCATTTTTTGGTATATAATCAAACTTTCGCAGCCATACAGGAGGATGGAGATGCACGCTGCTTCAAAGATGTTTAGTTTGAGTTTGATTGGAAGAGTTTTTGACAGAAATACATCCTTCATTTTCCAGAATGGTCCCGACACTTGTCCTTTTCATGCTCTGATGTCTGTTTCGCTCGATGCAATGTAAGAGCCAAGATACTTGAAGTCTTTTGTCCATTTGAGTTTTTGTCCGTCGAGTTCGATGAATTGATATAGGTGGATCGGCGTCTCTGGCCCGGCAAGTTCTTGGTTGCTTCCGTCTTTTTAATGTTTTCCTCAAGACCCACTCGTTTTGCCCATTTTGCTGTTGTTTGAAGTTGAGCTTTACAGATGAAAATGCCACATTTTGAGCAGGTAGTGGAGATTTTTCTTTTTTGTTAGGGCTGAAACTGCACCCCCTCCTCCTCTTGTCATGGGTGTCTGCAGACCCACTAGCTTTTCTTCATCTTGTTGAGTTTAAAATTGCTGCACCAAAGATGTGCATACCTTTATAACTTTTGCATCAACCACTCTTGTATGAAAGGCAGACTTCGTTATTATTGTCTATTATTGTGGACTGACTGCATGGCTGTGTTTGTGCCTCTTCATACGTGCGAAGTTATCAATTAACTTTGAAACATAGACTTCTAAAAAAGATGTCAAAGATGCGTAAAATTCAAAAGATTCATGTTTGTGCGTAAAATATGCATGAATCAAACCGAAAGAAAACAATGCAGTGAGAAGCGCTTTCTCTAGCTATATGCGCACTCACGCACACAACACCACTGACACACACACACACACACACACACACAGAGAGAGAGAGAGAGAGAGAGAGAGAGAGAGAGAGAGAGAGAGAGAGAGAGAGAGGGACAGAGATAGAGAGAGAGTAAACAGAAAGGATAAAATATGACCTTTAGGATATTGTGATTTGCCACGCACACAAACACCATGTATTATATTTAGGCCCTACACACACACACACACACACACACACTTTTGTCAACACACACACATTGCTCTCAGACATCCACACATACTCAGAAACATAATTTTAGATCATTGAGCCATTAAAATGCTTCATAAAACACTCCATACTGCCCCTAGTGGAAACCAGGAAAATAAGGTGCATTTCCCATAGGGAATACAGATGTAGTGACATCATCTGGTGGAATACACGATATAATGCAAATATAATGCTTTTGCTTCAAAATGAAAGGATGTTTGAGCAAAAATCATGTTTCATGTATTAATGACAGCCTCGGATTTAAACAACGTTTAAATGGGTTTCAATGGGCCATTTTTGGTCATTATGGTGCTGAGTGTTAGTATTTGATCTACACAGTGTTTGTTATACATATTTTGCAAATTTGGCATTTTTTACATTTATCCAAAAAGTCACAATTTTACCAAATTACATACCATTTGCATTAAAACAGCCAAAATGGTCAAAGAAATTAAACTGCAAAAGACCAAAAATGTCCCTAATGCAGCATAAGGATTAATTCTCTTTATGCTATATTTGTACATGTTTTTTTTCCCCCATAAAATCCTTTACGAACATGTTTGTACATTCTCTGAGACTATAGTTCTGCACGCTGTACAAAAATAAACAAGATGTAAGCATCGTAATCGACTAGTACATAAAATATTGATTACAAACATTCAAAACTGATCACAATTGTTTTTTCTATATTCATTTTAATTGTCTCATGTATTTACTTTTTTTAGCAAATTGACCTCTAAAGTTTATTTTTGTGCAAACATAATCTTTGAATTTTATCCATATCCTTTATAAGGACAGGTAACATTAACCCTCAAATGTGTCTGCATTACAATAGTGTGGTACAGATCAGTCATGTCAAACAGACAGAATTACACAATGTAAAGCACTGATTAGTTTAAAATCGCTTGAATGTTTAAACTGGTAAGATTAAAAAGATGTGCAAATGGTAAACTTCATTCACGATGCACTGCTTGCCCGATTGTGCAAGTGAATTCCGTCATGTCCCAACTCCTGAACGCGAGTGTAGTATTATCACGGCAGCGCATGATGCTTGCCTGGCACAACACATTTTGAAAGAAGAGTTGGAAGACGCGGTACCGCTGAACACTCACGCTATTTGTGGCAGACAGTTATTAAAAGAATGATTTGATTTTATAATCTGTGTGGATTACGATCTGAGCTTTTATTTAGGAGAAAACACCAGATAACCACTGATCGTGTGAGCAAAGTGCACACGTTTCTCTGAAATCACCCAGCAGGCCAGCACAAACAGAAAATGCCTATTCTTAAAGTCTTGTGCTGTTTTATGAAGGCAGGAAGCCATATCATGGCTTCGATTTTACTTCATTAGCAATATATAACGCTAGAGACCTTCTTGTTAGTTTATACATTTTACATTTCATATGTTCGGCAAAAGGCGGATTCGAACTCGGGTCCGAGCACATCAAATATGGCTCGGAACGTCTATCCGAACGTCGTCTATCCGAACGTCTATCCGAACTTGTTGTACTTTTGAGCGTCTGACTGAGCGGGTTAACCCACGTGACGACCTGACGCGACGTCAGCGTCTTGAAATTAGCTGTTTTTTAGCCATGCAAGTATCCAAGCTGATGTGTAAAGATTATAAATAGACATGAAAGGCACTAAATATAAATACTGTACCCCTAAAACATCAGTAAAACATTTTTCCTGAATCCTGTGTATGTGTTTTACTTTCAAAGAGCAGAAATACTGTAGGCTAGCCTATATAATGACATTCAATAGTCTTAATTTGACCAATATCATTTTAACTAGTTTTTATTTTTAATTTTTTTGCCCAATGAGCAACGTTCTCACAGTTCATAAAAAACACACTCCAAATTAATAAATGCAGCATAATGTTTTGTTGTTGTTGTTGTTGTTTTTACTTTTTGCAAAGGCTAATCTTTAAAAAAAAAAAAACTGACCCAGGAGGTTTTCAGATTTATATATTTGTATGTGTGTGTTTATATATATTTGGCATTTACCAAAATAAACAGCAAATCTTTTATCACAGCTTTAATCCATCTGAATCTGATCTCATTTCTACCTCTTATATCAGTCTTCTGACTCAAATATGCTGTGTGGTAATGTGTTAATCAGTACAGCCCATACATATTACCACAGCATATTTGAGTCAGAAGATTTGCTGTTTATTTTGGAAAATGCTTTATTGAATGTGAATGTTATGCCTAGCAAAATAATTTCTCTGTTGTCAGGTTTGACTGTATGATAATAATGGAAAAACTTGAACACTTCAAATTAGGGCTGAACGATTAATTGCATTTGCGATAAAATCACGATATGATGAAACGCGATTTTGTAATCGCAAGAGCTGCGATTACACTGTTCACGTGACACGCGGGAGCAGTCTGCAAGCTCAAGCATCAATTTGCCACGTTACGCGGTTTGGCGTTCAGAAAAGAACAGTTTATTATTAATGTATGTGATATTGTGTTATTTATTCTCTCCCCAACAATCCTGGATCGATCCAGAGAATTTCAGAATCGAGTCTGAGCTTAGTTTTTAAACACAGATGCGTGATGACGCTGCGCATGCTTCAGAAACGAACCGTGTTCTTATGGAAAGCCAAAAGGGTCAAATTTCGCCACTATCCAAACGCGTTTCATTCTCAAGACGCCACAAATTACGGTGTATTGTGGTACAAACGGCGAAAAATTACGACGTTTACAAAGCAAATTCGCCGTCATTTTTGGCGTTTTTTTTAATCCAGCCAATGACGCCGTTTCTGACGCCACAGGCCATCCACATTGCGGCGCTTCTGTCTGACAAAAAGACGGCGTAAAAAGCGGCGGTTTGTATAATATTATAATCAGCCCCACCCTTTTATTCAAAGTTCAGCCCATCTAATGAAGTAACGTTTGGTGGAAAGACATATGTAGTAGATTGTCGATCTGAATAGCGATCTGTTTTTAAGTAGTAGTTTTTTCTTTGTTTGACTGTCTGTGCTACCATACCAAACTGTACTGTGATTGATGATGTAATTATGGACTCGATGATAGCGGAGTAGAACAGAACAAGGAGTTGATGTTTGATCCGGTATTTTTTAAGCTGCCTGAGGAAGTAAAGTCTTTGTTGAGCTTTTGCGATGATGTGTTTAATGTTAGCTGTCCACTTTAGGTTATTACTGATGTGTGTTCCTAGGAATTTAAAGGAGTCAGTGATGGTGATTGGTTTGCCGTTTATTTGTATGGGTGTTCTGGGAAACGGCCTACGTCTAAAGTCAATAATGAGTGACCCGAATGAGTGATTCGGGTGACGATAGAGCTGATCTGCACATATCTACTCTGCAATGTGTAATTATTGGCTGATTGTCCTCTTAACAGCATAAAAAACAAAACTTATTCAAACTGTCAATGGGTTATAAACCGAAAGTAAGCAGAAAGCGCTCTGATTACAATGACGAGCTGTCATCACGTCAACGAGTTCACGGCACTCTTGCAAAATCTCCAGTTACTGCAGTTTAGTTCGAAACGGGTCACGACTCGTATAAAAAATGGATCATGTGAAAGCTGCGATTGCTATTGTAGCAGGCATAGTTGCCTAGTTAGGTGGAGTAACAGCCCGAGTGGCGATTGCACTGGTAATTGCCTAATTCGAGTCAGGTGCGCTATAGGTGCGGGATCACGCATAAATGGTTCTGTGTATTGAGAGTAGGCTGTTGTAAGTTCTGTTGCTGCTTTCCTGCTGAGCGGTTCTCGTATGGGGATTCTGGAGCTGAGTCGCGCATCCATTTGGGTACGTTATCGAGTAATACGAGAGTACGAGAGTAATACTGTTATTCGTGGTGAGCTGCTGGCTGTATGTATGCGCTTTGTGCTTTTAGTATGCGTGACGGGCTGTGTTTACCTATCGCGGCTTGACAGTGGGAAGACTGATTTGCGGAAAATCAGGTGGGTAAACTAGTATTGACTTCATGGGAGAATATTTACGAAAGACATCATTTACGTTGTGTTCCTCCTCTGTTCTAGTGGACGAGCGAGTAATATCGCCATGAGTGCAGCAAGTTGATTGGGACCGTGACCTGGCTTCCCCTTCTCTGTTTCGTATTTAATTATTCCCTTTGGGAATTCGTTCTTCTTCGCCCCGTCTCTCTGCCGTGCGCTGCTTTTGCCTCGCTTCTTCTGTTCCTGTGACGACCTGTATCCAGTGGACTCGACGCTGGGGAGCGCGAGACTCGCGCAGCCCGCTCTCATTGGTTGCTGCTGATCGCCCCGCACTGTTTCAAATGAACTGGACGAGTGTTTGTGGACTTCGGGTGGTGTATGAATGAACCAATAAAATAGTGCGAGTTGGGTGAGTGGTTGTCGGTTGTGCGTATATATGTGTGTAAATGCCCTTGCGAGAAACGCATACTGACACTGGTGTGTCTTTTAAGGAGTGAGTGGTTCGTGTGTGTGTGTGTGTGTGTGTGTGTGTGTGTGTGTGCACTTGTTTTTATATACCGGTGGGGACTTGGACCTGACTGCACACCAAACCCGTGGGGACCACTTGGGCGGTGGGGACCTGAGCCCAGGTCCCCACAGGCACATCCATTGAAAATGATAGAAATGGCCATTTTAGCATGTTTGGCAGTATAACCCTAAAAATGCCCCAAGTCCTCACGGGGTAGGTTTCGCGGACAAAAAGTGTTTGTGTGTATAAACTGTGTTTCAGAGTGCGCCCTCTATGGTCAAAACCGGAACTACTGTGTGTGTGTTTTTTAAAGGGATAATTCACCCAAAAATGAAACTTCTGTCATCATTTACTCATCCTTAAGTAGTTACAAAACTGTATATATTTATTTGTTCTACTGAATATAAAGTAAAATATTTGGAAGAATGTTAGTAACCCATTTTTTTAACTATTGTTCACTTGATTGACACATTTAATTCCACCAGTCACAATTTTGACCACAAATTCTGCTCACATTTAAAGTGTGGTAATATAAGGCACCTCTTATTACGAAGCACATGTTCATTTATAATGCAAATGTAAGATGTATGCATGAGATCAGTGCAGGCCTAACATGATTGAGTACTTTGGTCACCTGACCAGACACATTTGTTTCACAATGACGTCAAAGCTTAGAAATGACAGGTTTATTGTAAGTTAATTTTTTTTTATAGCTCATTCAATTTTTTTTCCACACATCATTATGAAAGGGTTATCTACATTTTGAAATTAGATCAATAGTGTAAATTCAATATGTCCCCTACAGTAGCCTGTATGTCTTTCTGTTATTCTTATGAACTCTCTTTCAGACTGACCTTAAGTCAAGTTTTGGATTTACTTGACCTTGGTGATGCAGGGCTTTCCTGTCTGTCTGTCCATCCGTCTTTCTGTCTGTCTATCTATCTGTCTGTCTGTCTGTCTGTCTGTCTGTCTGTCTGTCCTATTTATTGTGGTGTGTTGTACTATTTATTTCAGTTTATAATTACGTTTATATTAATTACCTTGACATTTTCTATAACTTTTGTCATTTTGTCATTTTATTCGATTATTTGTGCCATAATGCTTTTTTTTGCTGCATAGGAATTGTATTTTTTCCTTTCTAAAACTGAGCCAGACTATGTTTATTTTTTTTTAATGGAATATAACTTTTTTTAACCAAGTCTTTAAACTAATTGCTCCATTTGACATTTGTCAATGCATTGACACCATAGCCCTAGACTCCCAATATGTTCTACCTTCAGTCACTCTTGTAACCAGACATAAAACCCTTTTTTTAATGAATACATGTACATGTGCATCTCAATAAATTAGAATGTCGTGGAATAATTGATTTATTTCAGTAATTCAACTCAAATTGTGGAACTCGTGTGTTGAATAAATTCAATGCACACAGACTGAAGTACTTAAAGTCTTTGGTTGTTTTACAGTTTTTCTCAGTCACTTTGGTGCATTTCTCAAATCATCCTTTATATTTGCAAAGTCATATGTGCATTCTCAAGACAATTCTACAAACAGCACCACACATTGGGTTACCTGCAAAAGCCTGTATCTTACTCAAAATCTTTAGTTCATCTCTCAAAAGTAAGTAGGCTATTTATGTCAATGAACATATCAGTGCCATCAGAAGGAAAAGTCCTTGTGTCATTGGTACACAACAAGGTTAAAAATGCTTAGTCATGTTGTCAATAAAACACTGCACTCTGTTAGTATTACCTGATGTAAACTATGGAAACAGTTTGGATGACAGTTACTGTGTTGAAATGTATAAAGCTATGCCGCTTCTGTATGCCATTTATCCATTTTAAAAGTACAAATTTATACACTACTGTCCATGAGTTATTGATTAAAAGAGACAGGATAGGAATCAGTTACACTTTTACTTAACATCACTAATGATGTGTCCAGGTTGCATCAAGTTGATGTATGTTACAAGTAAACTAGTGGTCTGAAAAAAAAAATAGATCACTGACAAAGACTGATCAATAACATCACAGAATCTATGCTACCTGAGTCACAGTGCAGGGAAGAAAGTACAGGAGCACAGTCGACATGGTCTTCACAACACGGCAACTGAAGGAAAAGTCCAGGGAGCAATATAAAGACCCATTTATGGCTTTTGTCGACCTTTACAAAGCCTTCGACAGAAAGATCTCTTGTGGGAAGTCCTCCTCCGGTTCAGATGCTCCACTAAGTTTGTCAACGTCCTCCGTTAGTTTCATGATGGAATGACTGCTAGGGTGACAATAGGGTAAGGCAATGGTGTGTTCTGGCACCAGTGCTTTTTAACATCTTCCTCATATGTTGGAATGTATGTCAAATGATATGGAAAGGCCCTGGCTATCCCGAAATACAGATAGCAAAGTGAGTGAGATGGGGAAGAAAAAAGAGGCAGTAAACAGAAGTAAAACCAGAGCATCCAAGGCAACAGCACAGAAAGAATATGCATTAGCAAATAAGGAAGTGAGAAGAAGTGTAAGCAGAGAAAAAAAGAAATTTATTGAGGATCTAGCACATCAAGCAGAAGAAGCAGCAGTAAAAAAACAACCAGAGCAACCAAAAAAACAACCTATACCCAACAAGAAAGCTCACAGGCAAATTCAGACACGTACAGGCACACAGTAAACGCTCACATGATGTACTCCTCATAATCAAGGAAGACCAGGTGAAGAAATGGACTGAACACTTCAGAGACCTGCTCAACAGGCAGCCTCCTCAACTGACCGCAGATATTACAATAGCCCCAAACCCATTGGAGATTAACTGCAATCCCCTCACCAAGATGGAAATTAGAAAAGCCATTAAGGCCTTGAAAGGAGGAAAAGCAGAGGCACCAGACAGGATTCCAGCAGACGCTCTTAAAGCCAACACTGAAAACCTCCACCAACATGTTTCACCATCTCATGAAAACCATCTGGGAGGAAGAAAATGTCCCAGCTGACTGGAGAGATGGCCACATCGTGAAAATCACCAAAAAAAGAGACCTCCGGCAGTGAAAAAACTACAGAGGAATAATGCACCTCTCAACACCTGGGAAGGTGCTCAACCATATTCTGCTCAAGAGGCTCCAGAAGGGGGTCAATGAGAAACTGAGGGAAAACCAGGCTGACTTCAGGGACAACAGATCCTGTGGAGACCAATTGCCACCCTCAGGATTATTGAGCAATCCATCGAATGGAATTTGCCTATGTGAATTTCATAGATTTTGAAAAAGCCTTTAATAGTGTGGATAGGGGAAGTCTGTGGAAACTGATGGCTCATCATGGGATCCCAGCAAAGATCATTAACATCATAAGGAGCACCTACCAAAGGGATGAGATGTCAACTCCTCGATGAAAGGTGTATATCGGAGGCATTTGAGGTCTTGACTGGGTGATGAAAGAAACAACCAACAATCGATGAACCGGCATACAGTGGAGCCTGACTGAGCAGCTAGAAGATCTCGATTTTGCTGATGATCTGGCATTACTAGTTCCAGGGATGTGAACAGACAATTTGAGGGGCAGGGGCTCAAGTGGAAAAAAAGGGCACTTCTCATAATTACGTTTTTTAAACAAAAAAAAAATATACAGTATATATTAACACAACTCTTACATTTTGAAAAAAAAAATTTAAAATTGATTTTATCTTCCTCAAACTCACACAATTGTTTCATTTTCAAAAGAGGTCTACAAAATAATCAGTTCACACAGAAACCACTAGTATTCATAGGTTTATAGAGCAGCAAAGGAAACCATGCCACAATGTCAGCCCATTCTCATCCCAAGGCGTCATAGGTGACGCTTTTGACATTGCGTCTAAATTCGACGCCCTAACGCCGCCTTCACACTGGCAGTTGAAATCAGCTCCGATGCGGCTGCGAAACGACCGGAAGTCATTCATTTCCTATGGAGATTCGCAGACGAATGGGTCCGAAACGGGTCCGACCGAGTGCGTTGCGAAGAAAATCGTGTCCGTTGGTCATCCGGATGCGTTCAAAAATTTGAACTCGTGCGAAAAGCTACGGACGGTTCCTATCCGACAATTCCAGCGGAAGTTGAGCGTTGCTATGGTACTGATACACAAACCTGAATTATTTACTTTTAATACAATAAATAATGATTTTATAACGATAAGTTGTCATGTCATTTTTTATTTTCATGACTTTCTAATGTTTATAAGGGCAGTTAATACAATTAAATTGAAGGTAGACATTGAACTATTGACCCCTATATCACATTTTTTAGCCGACCTGACATGTCAACGTCCTGAGCAACTTTCCTCACGCAGCATAACCCTAATCAGAGAGATCATACAGAACTGACAGAATCAATCTTTAATCTCTCCGCCATTTTTGTTCTACCCGCGTCCGACGCTTTTCACTGTGTAGTACGACGTCCGTTGGGAACGTATTGCGTATTACAGAGCTGATTTCAACTGCCAGTGTGAAGGCGGCGTAACACTACCCCAGACCTAAACCTACCCATAACAGTGCGTCTCATTGACGCTAAAGGCTGCAGGGTAAACCACAAACATTCATTGCCAAATAAGCTGGCTATTCACAGAGTGCTGTATCCAAGCATGTGGTTTGGGTGAATTTCACAAGGAAGGGACTGAGGCTGGGGTCAAGGCATCAAGAAGACCCACCACACACAGACGAATCAAGGAATTTAACTAAAGTTGTCGTATTCCTCTTGTTAAGCTACCCCTGAACCACAGACAACACCAGAGGCGTCTTAACTGGGCTAAGGAGAAGAAGAACTGGATTGTTGCCTAGTGCTCCAAGTTTTGTATTTATTTACTCATAGCAGTTACTTGAAGTCCAGTGTTAAGTTTCCACAGTCTGTGATGATTTGGGGTGCAATGTCATCCGCCGGTGTTGGTTTACAGTGTTTTTTAAAAACCCGAAAGAAAAAAAAGTCTGCACCCGTTTACCAAAAAAAAAAATCTAGAGCACTTCATGCTTCCTTTTGCTGACCAGCTTTTTCAAGATGCTGATTTCATTTTCCAGCAGCATTTGGCACCTGCCCACACTGCCAAAAGCACCAAAAGTTGGTTAAATTACCATGATTTTGGTGTGCTTGACTGGCTAGCAAACTCACCAGACCTGAACCCCCATAGAGAATCTATGGGGTATTGTCAAGATGAAAATGAGAAACACGAGACCAAAAAATGCAGATAAGCTAAAGGCCACTGTCAAAGAAACCTGGGCTTCATTACCACCTCAGCAGTGCCACAGGCTGATCACCTCCATGCCACACTGTATTGAGGCAGTATAAAGCAAAAGGAGCCCCTAACAAGTATTGAGTATACAGTAAATGAACATACTGTTGTTTATTTTTTTTTATTTTTTTGGTCTTATGAAGTATTCTAAGAATTGGTGGGTTTTTGTTAAATGTAAGTCTTTGGTTCTTATTATGATGGTTTTGGCTGAAACGACTACAATCGTGTGCATTGAATTGATTTACATGCACAAGTTCCACAATTTGAGTTGAATTACTGAAACAAATGAACTTTTCCATAACATTCTAATTTGAGATGCACCTGTATATTAGCATATAATATATTATATAATATAAGAATATAGAATATAATATATTGATTGTTTAATATCCTTACAAATTCATATAGCCTATCTCTGGGAAAATCTCTTCATTTGTTTGTCTCTTTAATTTTACATTTTTATTTAATACATTTCTTATTCCTTATTCAAATATGATATGGACTGCCTGGATCTCATTGCCTCTGTTTTGCATCAGACATAACGCATATAATCCGCTTTCTCATGTAAGGGTCTAAACAAAACACCGCTGACAACACACTGTCAGAAGGCTCAATGAGCCCAATGGAAATTTCAAGAACTGTGTGTTCGTCTGACATATCAAGTCCCCATCACAACCAGGGGGTTGGTTGTGATGGGGACTTGATATTTCAGGTGAACACACAATCCTTGAAATTTCCATTGGGCTCATTGAGCCTTCTGACAGTGTGTTGTCAGCGGTGTTTTCCCCCTTTCTGTCTCAATGATTTACTCACTCAAATTTTCTCTAAAATGAATCACATATTTATAAGAAACTATCTAATGAGGACATATTTATATAAAATAAATAAACCACAAGAAATACCATGAAATTAAAAAAAACTCAAAATATTTTACATTCTGTTATATAGACTAAGCTAAACTGATTCTAATATACATTATGTGAAACTAGTTATTTATTAATTTATTTTTATATTAACAAGTCATATGATAGCAGGTTATAAAACTGAAAATTATTTTGCCTCATTTGATGGATTATTTATTTATTTATTTATTTAGTAGGCTACACCGCGCATTCCCACAAAAACGTAGAAATAGTAGTAGTCATATCATCATCATTGTGCAGAAAATGTATTTTATTAAAAAATACATATAATACATTAAAATGCATATATTTCGGAATTATTAAGATTAACATCACGCAGCCGCGGGCCGCCATTTTAGTTTGTAAAAAGTTTGGTTCGATCCGACTAATTGGAGTGTAGACGCAGACATCACTTACAGCCATTTTGAGATGACAACTACACGTGTGACATCTTCTCCGAAAATTTCCTTTCTACTGGGCGTATCATGGACGAAATAAGGTAAGATGTTTGTTTTACAACATTAATACCGTGGTAATTATTTTTAAATTTCTGGCTATTTATAGTTGTATGAGGAGGTAACGTTAGATTGTCAATTAAACAGATTGACGTTAAGTGCGTTGCTTCTAATTAAGGTAACATTAACTAGCTTTAGTTAACAAACATAGTTTTAGGTAACAGGCCTAAGATTTACTCACAAGCTTGTTGGTTTGCGTCTAAAATTAAGTTCGGTTATGTTTGATTATTCTATCACATAATATAACACATAATATAACGTTAGCCTAGTATAACGTTACTATAGGCCTAAAGCATTAACCTAACAGCACTTGTGTTCTGAACTTTAACGTTACCTAAAAACAGATGGATATATATATATATATATATATATATATATATATATATATATATATATATATATGAAAAAAATCCTGTTCATAATGATGGTAATCACAAGTTCAGGCCTGCACTACAGAATTAGCATGTTAGACAGTCGTCGAATTTGTATCCAAAAGACAATAAAATCACGTGTCGACCGAGTACTTATTTTCACTTAATTTGATAGCAAATAGCCGATTCTAGGTCTAACGTTAACTTTATGTCGCACGTGTAATACCGTGGCCTAAAGCTGATTCAGTGTTGACAGAAAATGTGCTGCCACAACGCTCGCTCTCGATTAGGACACGATGTACAAGCATGTGTAGCCTACTGTTTACTGTGTGTACAGTTTTTGAGTTTATTATACCTTTCGAACAGACCAAATAAACCCAATAAGAGGGTCAGCAAGGAGGGCAAAGACCGGTTTGAACGTCGCATCACAAGACTGAGAAAACATCATAATGAATGCTCCAGGAGACATTCAGCTAGACAGAAGGTAATTGTTTGTTGAAATTTCATGTATGAAGTTTGAAGTAGCCTTAATCATTGTACTCATAAGTCTGTATAATATTGTAGTTAAATTGTTCTTGTATTGTTAAGAAATGTTAGACAAACCCTAGTGTCTCCCAGAAATTAATAGAAATATAGTGGATTATATGAACATATGTACAAAAACATTGCCTACATGTTTGCCAAGACAGAAAATTAAATATTCATATAAAATCAAATATTACATGCACTGTAAACTTGTTAAAGCATGCAAAGCTGCATAGTTAGGTGAAACTAAAGGATTGTATGTCTACAGTTAGGCTATGTATTAAATTAACAACTTATTTCAGGCTAAGGAAAGTTCAAAGCAAACACCAGTTGTTGGCCCCATCATGCCCCACCAGACCCCAGATGATCAGGTCCCGTCTCCCCTCAAAAAGGACATCCTTGCCTTACAGCTGATGTGCAGAGAACGATCCTTGGTAAATTGTGTGTTCAAAAAAAAAAAAATAAGAAGAAGAAGATATAACAAGAATTTATGACGACTGACTATTTCTGTCAACCTAAACAGGAGGATTCAAAGGCAAAAATGGACGGTTTCATGCCTTCAGATGTTACCAAACAGTCACTGTCTACAAAGAAATCAGTGGTATGTATTCATTTCATAATGTCTATGTAGATGTTTTCTTGCTAATTATTTCTTGATAGAGATGCACCGATTACAACTTTCTAGGCCGATTCAGATTTTTCCAGTAGCACCTCAATGCAGAACATGAGATCCACGGGGAGGAGTCGGATCACGATCCAAGGGGTGGAGATGGTTAGGGTTGGGTTTAGGGATTAGGGGGCAGAGTTGGGTAGGTTTAGGTGTATGTAAGGTGGGAGGAGTTGGATCTGGATCCGACTCCTCCCCGTGGATTTCATGTTCCGCAGTGAGGACCATCTCGAGACCGATTTTTAACTGATTCCGATTTCATTTTTTCGAACCACACAAATATTTTCTATATTTTCTTTAATACAAACTTTTGCATAGAACATAGAAGATTTTTTTGAACAAATAAACTAAACAAATTATTACTCCTGGTGTAGAAAATTCACACATCAAAGTGCAGTGTTATGGAACAGAAGAACCATTTTAACTTTCAATATTCAACAAAAAAAAGTGATATTTACTTATTTAGGAAACTAAAATCTGAAATTCTGTATGAAAACCGGTAATGGAAATAAAATATATAAATAGCAAATAAAAATAAAATAAATATAGCCTTGCAGTAAAAAGATATTTCTCAAAACACACACAGGCCTATTGCAATCACTTGTAAAGCAAGTTTTATTTCGCAAACAGTGAAATAATTTATTTTGTCTAACAAAAGTGTGCTTTCATTTTAATTGAGCGCGAGAAGTGCAGCAAAAATTGACTTGGCGCCGAAACCCCCGCTTCACTGCTGCTCGCTCGACGCTCACACGCTGCTCCTGCTCTGTGTGAATGCACTCGTTGATTAACATGCACGCTGGAAAAAATGCTCACTCTTGCGGTGTGAAACGGTCGTAATTCACAAAGTTTCCTACATGTGCGTTCTGTGTGCATGTGTAATGCTGATGTTGTTTTGCGATGTTAATCATGCACCGCCCAAGTGCATTTGACCAGCAAAAAATCCGAACGTGTCAGACTTAGGCTTGCCACGGTAGTCGGTGTTACCGGTGTTCAGTCGCAACACCGGTTTCATCACATGCCCACCGCGGCACCGCGGTTGGCATGTGAAAAAAAAAAAGTTTAAAGCCTTAAAAATATTGAACGCAAGTATGCAGTAGTCGTAAAATCCTGCCTATTAACACACACATAACCCACAGAAAAGACGCGTGTCCGTATCGGGTTCTCTTTCGGGCTTGAACAAACCATAACACACAAATTATGCCAAAATGTCCATAAGAGCAGTCTTAAACGAACGTAGAGATTTGTGAGAAAATGGGACGCGTGTCAGATCGCGTATCTGTCAGCAACGGCTGTCCGAATTCGCTCACTCGTTTTTACTTACTCCTTCTCATTCACTCCTTCAAGTGAACAGTATTAGTGGACTAATGTAGGGAATAGGCCTAGTAAGTGAGGGTTTAGGGGGCGATTTGGGATTCAACCCATGTTCTCGAGGAGTGAAAAATAGAGGACACTGACAACGCGTTGACAGACAGGACCGAGCAGGTAATATTTAATATGAAACAGTCTCAACTTTCAAATTTGGTCAGTCAAAGAAAATTAAACAATAAATAACGTTAGGCCTACCGTTTTGTGGCTCTTTTTAATGTGTCGTGACAGATTGTCTGATAAAGCCAAGTTCCACCGACGTTAATCTACTCCTGACTGCTTGCTTTCTGACTGATCCTGTCAGATCGTGTCTGTCAATCAAACTCCAAGCGAAGGATGAATTGACGCTAATTTAAAAGTGAAAGTTAGTTTCACTTTTAAAAACAGTTCTTTCCCGCACTACCGCACCGTTATGTATGCCCGTGAAAACGTGCGCATTTTACGTTTGCCTTTAAATTAGCGATTTAAAAGCCCCCGCCGGTGAGACACCGGTATTACCGGTGTTGTCACACGTCGATTAACCGGTGAGAAAATATCCTCACCGTCACAACACTAGTCAGACTGACTGACCGGCCGGTCGCCGATCATGGCCCGATCATGTGGAAATCGTCCGATTCCAGTCACCAGCCAATTAATCGGTGCATCTCTATTTCTTGAGAGAGGGAGATCTGTGGAGCTACAGTGTGCACAACACAAAAGGCGATGACTAAGAGACTGTAGTGGTTCAATCTTCAACTGACTGGCAGGAGCCACCTTTACACAAATTCCCATGATCTATGGTCACGTGACCTGCCAGTGACTTGCAGACTCAGCCGCCGATGATCTGCGCCTATGTGTGTTTGATTTATATTTATCTCTGTTGCCAGGACACAGACAGTGATGTGGATACGCTAATTACTGATTTACCCAGTTCTTCTGAATCACCAAGAGCCTGTGATATCCCAGAGCTAAAGAGGACTGACAGTGTATTTGTAAGTTTCTTACTCATGTATGTGGTGATCATTTTGTCTTGAAGGGTTAGTTCACCCAAAAATGAACATTCTGTCAGTATTTACTCACCCTCATGTTCAACCCCGTAAGAGTTTTGTTCATCTTTGGAACACGAATTAAGATATTTTTGATTAAATCTGAGAGCTGGATCACTCCTCCATAGGCTTCTTAAGCTCGGAACACACCAAGCCGACGCTGACGAACTAGCGCTGATGAAAGCCAACTGTGTTGTCGCCTCTCGTCCGCTCTCGTCGAGGTAAAAAGCTGCACTTGAAAACACCGAGAGAACTACAGGCGACTGTCAGCTAGAATGTGCATTCTGCACCTGCGTGTAATGAGCCAACTGTCTATTTCTGCAGATATATTAGTCTATATTCGTCATTCAAAAAGGAAAACCGACGCTGCGGCTGCAGATACACATAACGTAAATAAAGCAGCGCGTGCTAACCGTTTAGAATATCAGTCCTGTAAACACTTTCTTTATTCCACTCCGCCCATGTTAATATTGAAATATTCGCCAAGGAACACTCAGGTAAGATGACATAACATAAGAACAGCCTTCTATCTTTACGGTTTTGACTTCTTTGCTTGCTGTTTTGCGTTTATTCTCGTGCACTGACTGTTTCACTAAGCTGAACAGCCAATCAGGGTTCTCTCTTTCCCCAATGGCCCGACGCCGGGCAAGACAAAGCCCACGAGGTCTATTTTCAGCCATATCACACCGAGGAAACTTAGTTGGCAGACGCACAAAATCTGCCAGACGGCCGACCGTCGGCTTGGTGTGTTCCGGGCTTTAAGGGATTGAAACTTGTTCCCCTAAAAGTTATTAAACTCATTGTTAAAATAGTCCAAATGACTACAGTGGCTCAATCATAAATTTATCAAGCGACGAGAATACTTTCTGTGTGCAAAAAACACACAAATAACGACTTTATTTCAACTATTCATAATTTTACAACCACGGGTCTTACAGGGTTAAAAACATTAAATGCTTTTCACATTTTTACTTGCAGCATTATCATAATAGGTTATATATTAACTTATTGGCAGAAAACTGTAGTTCAATGTGAAATCAGTCACCCAATATAGCTAAAATAGAATCATCCTTCATTCAAAACACATCTGCAACAATTTGACTGAGATTGGTAGTAGTTATTTTAAGACAGTAGGTCAGAACGCACATTATTGTTACTGCACATACATCACTTTCTAATATATCAGACTGATCTCATGAAGTAGCGTGTGTATGACACGCCAATTTGTATTTCCATTTTTGACGTGCTATCAACATGCATAATCGCCTTTCAGCGTGTTTATGAACGCCGTTGACTTAACGTTATATAAATATATAACTTACCTCAACCCCGTCCCTAAACCTAACCGTCACTGGGGTTAATGGCATTTATGACTGGAGATTTGACTGCGTGTACAGACACACGGAATGACGCGGACGTTAATGGCATAGACATATACGCATACACGGGGATAGCACAAAATGCGTGGAGATAACACGCCACCTGACTCGAAAGTGGCGTATATGTTTACGCAACCGTCATTATGTCATGTTGAATATATCCAGCACTATCCAGCTTTTTTGCCTCCAATACCTGGGATTCAGTATTGTGCGATATGCTCCATTTTCATATCGTCCTATCATCAGCATGTGAGATCGGCGATACACAATATTATAGTGAGCGGGGCGTACTTATTAGGTTATTATCTTAATTATTTGCTTGTTTTATTACTTCGTTTTATATATGAGAATAGTTCTCTATTTTGCTAGCAAAGGAGTGTTAATTAATAGACCATTTCACAAGATGTAAACAACACTGGTCCAGAAACACTTCCTGTTTCAGTTTTTTAACACTACATAAAAGCTGGGATAAAATACAACCAACAGAACATTTAAAACTGAATCAAAAAGTTAAACAAACATCTTTAAGATGTTTTCTTTACATGTGAAATAAAGAAAACAGTTACAAACTGAAACAGGAAGTGCTTCTGGACCAGTGTTGTTTACATCTTGTGAAATGGTCTATAGGCTAAATCAGGTTATTTCCCAGTATGAGGTTAAATCATTAGGATTAAATCCTGATAATTTTTGTATCTGAGAGCGGGAAATTTACGGACACACATTATCCTCTCATGCGGTTACAGATGCAGATTTTTGACTAAGTAACTTCTGTCCAAGTTGAGAACACGTTTTAATAATTTCTTGGGTCAAGAAAGAGTCAGAGTTTGCAATAATATGTGCTCTCTCTGTCTGGATGCACTTCACATATGCACACTTCAATAAGCCCAAAGAACACGGTTAATGTGTTTTAAATGCCAGGAGAAATCAGAGTAAGTGAGTCGATCGGTTTTACTGAAACTTATGACTTGACTCAGATAAAGGAAAACGGGTTAATTCGTCACATGACCACATGCATTGTCAATTTATTCAGCATAATTGGGTTAAGAATGTGCATGTAAACACGCTCCTTAACAAAGTGAAAGTAGAAACGGTCTAAGCTTTCGGCATCTGTCGCTGCATTAACGTCGCATTCTCTCAGAGACGACGATGGATATAACAGTATAGCAACTCTCTTAATTTACTGGCTTAATATTTCTCTTGTGGACCTACATTAATGACAGTAAAAAAATGTTAAATAACTGTTTGAAGCTGCTCTTGATTTTCACAGATGGCAGAGTTGTGCTGTGATAATGTTATTAGGTCTATATCATTTTAGTGATACTACTATTATTATTATTATTAAGTAATTGTATTGTTTTTAATGTTATTAGTGTCATTAAAAGTTTTGTTAATGTGCTATGGAAACAAAATAGCCTACTGACGAATAACAATGCCGTTTTCATATTGGATCTTTAAGAATGATGCGTCTGTTAAAACAAGCACTCCAGACAATTTTTGAATGTCTCACATTCAATGAAGTTTTTTAGTCTGTTTTAAAAACATTTTCCTTGAGTCCTCATAAGCGCGTGTCGGTGTTGTCGCAAGTCTTAGGCTATATGGTGATGTCGTTATGAATTTAGGCAAAGCAAATTAATTGTGGTTCCTAAAATTAATTTAATAACAAAACTAGCTTTATGATAATAATTTAATTAATTAATGGTAAAACAAGCAAATTATTATATTGATATCGTCAAAGGCATCAGATATCTCTGACTCGTCGATACACGATACAATCGTCTATAGGCACAACCCTAGCCGATACCGAGTACTGATTCAATAATAAAATAATAATTTTTAAAAAGTAGCAAATTACCTAATAAACTTTATCTGTATGCCTCACGATATAAGCTGCTTTTATTTGAATCTTAGATTTACATTGAACCCTGCATACAGATATCCATTTTGATTATGGTTTTATGCATTATGGTCCTTCCACGGCCCTCAGCCTCATCCTGCTCACCAACTTTTTTACTTTTTAGCTCGCCAAGTTTTAAACTAAAGCTGTGTTTTTTGTTGTTGTTGTTTTTTTAATTTATTATTATTACTTTTAATTTTATTAACAGGTTACCAAAAAATCCTTAAACACCAGTTGCACTTCAGATGACCCAACCAGTTGCACTTCAGATGACCCAGTTAGCAGCATTGATAACAGTGAAGATGATTATGTGCCTGACTCTGAGAGCAGTTCAGAAGAATCAGAAGAGAGCCTTCCACAGCCTTTTGCTCCCTCATCTCCCAGTATAACCTTAGATGGGAAGGTTGATACTTCATCTTCCATGAATGAAGACAAGGAATCTCCCCCACACGAGGATGAGGAGACAATGACTCAGTCGGACAATAGCAGCAGTGAAGAGGTTTCAGTTATGAAACTGAAAAAGACTGCAAAAGGCCAAAGAATGTTCAACAAAAAGCAGTACTGCTTTTACTGCTCCAAACCCTTCTCCAAAATGGCAAGACACTTGGCCCAAGTACATAAAAATGAAGTGGAAGTAGCAAAAGCTCTTTCTTTTCCAAAAAGTTCTAAAGAAAGGAGGATTAATCTGGATTTTTTGAGAAATAAAGGCAACCATGTACACAACACAAATGTTCTCAAAGCTGGCAAAGGAGTGTTGGTACCACGTCAGCAATCCACTGCTAAACACGTGAATGTTAAGGACTACATGCACTGTTTAAACTGCCAAGGGCTGTTCAGACGAAAAGCGCTTTGGAGGCATATGCAAAGGTGCAACCTGGCCAAGAAGTGCCAGGTCACAAAACAAGGTAGATCCAGAGTTCAAGCACTCTGTGCTTATGCGCAGCCTGTTCCTGAAGGAGTAACAAAAAAATTATGGAAACTGATCAGTGACATGAAGCAAGATGAAGTAACACAGGCAGTTAAAAGTGATACATGTATCCTCAAATTTGGAGAACACTTGTGCAACAAAATGGGAAGTGACAAAACCAAGCACGAATACATCAGAACTAAAATGCGTGAGGTTGGAAGGCTGTTAGTGTGTGCTAGGAAAGTGGGAAATCTACAGAGTATTAAAGACTTCTTCATACCCTCAAACTTCTATCACGTCATCAAGGCTGTTAAAGATACCTCGGGATTCAGAGATGAAGATGAAGTCTTCACAATTCCATCCTTGGCATTAAAACTGGGCCACAGCCTTAAAAAAATGTCCCGTATTGCTGAATGTGAAGCAATGATTGCAGGAGACTCAAATGATGTCAAAAATGTAAAAATGTTCATGCAAATGTATGAGACCAAATGGAATGAGCATGTGTCATCTTCAGCCTTGAAGACGCTTAATGAAGCAAAATGGAACTCTCCAGAACTCCTCCCTTTTACTGAGGATGTTAAAAAATTGCACATTCATCTCAGCAATGAAACTAGACTGTACCAAGAAAAACTGAAACTTGAGAAAATTCAGAAGAACTGGTCACAACTTGCCCAAATTACTCTGTGTGAAGTTATTCTGTTCAATCGCAGAAGAGCTGGAGAAGTTTCGAAAATGAGATTGAATTCATATGTTCTCCGAAACACATCTGTTTTACACTCCGATGTTGCTGATGCCTTATCTGAAGTTGAGCAGAAGCTCTGTCAGCACTTCCAACGCATAGAAATTAGAGGCAAGCGAGACAGAAAGGTGCCAATACTCCTGACCCCAAGTATGCTGGCCTCCATGGAGCTACTTGTACAGAATCGTCAAACATGTGGTGTGCTAGATGAGAATTATTTTTTTTTCGCAAAGCCAATGACTGAAACCTCATTTTACCGTGGCACTGATTGCATCCGGAAGGTGGCCCACCAGTGTGGAGCCAAACATCCAAAGAATTTGTCATCCACAAAGCTGAGAAAACACATTGCAACCTTATCGAAAGTGCTTAATCTGAGAGATACTGAGATGGACCAGTTAGCAGATTTTCTGGGACACGATATAAGAGTCCATAGAAAGTTTTATCGGTTGCCGGAAGGGACTTTACAATTAGCAAAGATCAGCAAGGTGCTGATGGCCCTTGAACAGGGAAGAGTTTCAGAATTCAAGGGGAAAAACCTGGATGAAATTAACCTTGAGCCTAATGGTAAGAACACATGGCATAAAAATGTTTGCTCTTATACACATTGACATTATATATTGACACTTGTTCAGTTACAAGGAGCTCTATATGGTGCACAGAAACAAATGTTTTTTAAACGCTTTTCTGCAGAGAAAGTGAATGTAGGTAGTGATGAGTCTGAAAGTGAGGATGAAGAGAGTGAGATGCCACAGCCAGAAAAGCGACGTCAGTCCTCTTCAGCATCTACAGGTATGGTCAGCTGTGATCTGGTGTGAATTCTTAGGGGATAAAGGATCAATGATAAAGAATGATAGATTTAGATTTTGCTATTTGTATCATGAAAATCTGTATGGCTGTCCCTGATGAAACAGGTTTGCAGCCCTCTGACTCGATGCAGGTAAGGAACTTCATTCTCACCCGAGCTGTGCCACAGATTGCCTACTGGTCACGCCTCTACACGTCTCTGACCACTGTTTCGTTCCGTTAATTTCATTCTCCGTCCCACCACCACTGGTTTATTTCTACTGCAGCCTGTTCCTCACCCTCTTCTCTTTGGTCACCTCAACTCTACATCGACACATTTTCCTCACTGCGGGTCAATGAAGCCACAGTATCTCTGCTCTACACTAAGCTCATGTCTGCACAGGCTGTGTCCTCTATCCACCAAACCTGCTGCTCAAACCAGCCTCACCTATGTCTGATTCTACCATCTGAAATCTGCATACTTATCTCAGACCTACTGAGAGAGTTTTAGTGGGCTAACTAATCTCAAGGGCTCCCATTTTCCTCCTTATCCAGTATTAATGCTGCTAAAATAGTTTTCTACAATGATGTACCAAAGTCACTAACCTCTGTTGAACTATTTGCTGCTTTCTTGACAGAATTGATCACTAATGGCTGCCACTTTTTTTAGAGCCACTTTGAAAACAACCTGTCTTCCCCATTAATTGCATGCTTTTGGTTATGGTGTACAGTTAACGTCTTATTTTCTGTCCTTCAGAGGAATCTTTGGTTGGCAGCCAGTCTTCGAGGGAGAGTGAGATGCCTCCGCCAAAAAAGCGACGTCAGTCCCCTTCAACATCTACAGGTAAAGTCAAACCTGTGCTCTGAGAATGACTTTAAATGGTTATTATTGATGCTTTTGGTTACAGTACGCCAAATGTTGAAGTGTTTATTTGCTTCATCTTCCAGAAGATCTTTCATTTGGCTGCAAGTCGGCAAAGGAGAAAGAGCTGCCTTCAAAGTCAGGTAAAGAGTCCGGACTGCACTGCTAAGAACTGACTTGCCTAGTTAGTTATTGCGACTTTACATTAAAGGTATAGCGGAGGATTTTCTTTTTCCGGGTGGGTAGCCTATACTATAGCTTATACTATTGTCTTTTTTATGAATGTTTTTGAGTTGGTTTATAATTTGCAACAAAATTGTGTAAGGCGTAATAGGCGTTCCCTCTCACGAGCAAATAGAGTTGCCCATGTGCATTTTTAAAAAAAATTGGAGAGGGCAGGGTCTTCTCTAAAATTCGGAAAGATCCTCCGCTATACCTTAAACTGCATTAATAGAGAGCACTTTAATGGTCTAACCGTATTTCTTGATATTTTCATTAACTGTATTTTGGATATATTATATATATGTTATGCTTAAGGCCAAGAACTAAGATTAAAGGGATAGTTCACCCAAAAATAAAAATGTGAAGTTTATCTGTTAGTTGTATAATGCATGGTGATGATAGCAAAATCTATCAGAGTAAAAAAACAAACATAAAAAGACGGATCAAAATTCAGACTGCATAGGTTGGAGTTAAAAATCTTCATTTGTGTTCTAATGGAGAAACAAAGTCAGCTATATCTTGGATACCCTGGGGGTTAGCAGATAAACATCACATTTTCCTTTTTGGTTTAACTATCGCTTTAACAATTTTTTTTTCTCCATTAGTGTTGTCAAAGTACTGACTTCGGTATCGAGTTGGTACAGAAATGTTTTAAATGTGATGCTTTGATCGCTGTTGAGTGGAATTATAAACACCTCTGATTGACCATTGTGTTCACATGCTCATCAAATATGTCTGAATGCAGACCTGCCAACCTGTACGAATTTTGCGGACCTCGGAAAGCACATATTAAGCACTTTGTGCTGCACTGTTTCGGAGTCTTTCATAATCCTATCGTAATATTTTTGCCCAATGAAAGATTAATAGCCTTTTGTTCTGTCCTATCTATATGTTGCTGCCTTATTAAGCATATATAGTAGAATATTATAGTAGTTATAGTAGACTATATAACATAATTGGTCTTGATTTTTGTTATCTTGCAACAATACAAACAGAAATGTGTAATGTTTTACCAGATTTAGTGCTACACTTATTGTCTCTTATTTGTTCCCTACTAAATGTTTTTTCCCCTAAATATTCAGATTTTATACAATTATTGTGCACTCGTGATTTTTCTAGACTAAATTTTACTGCTGAGTTATCCACTAATCTAGTTTATAATAGAATTTTTGTCATAGGTTATGATCATATTTTTTAAATTTGTTTTTCTTTATAATGAAGTTGTCTGTATTAAGTAGATTGTGTATAACACACAATAGAATGATTAAAAACTATTAAATCTACAGGAAAATATTTTAGTTTACGCGCTACAGATGCGCGGATTGTGACTTCCAGTAATAGTACGTGCTCTGAACATCCAATCAAAGAACGTTATTGTACGCCTGCTAGATGGCCCGGTGCAGTCAAAGCAAAGTCTGATTGTCTGATTTAATAAGACTGATTATCTGCTTGGTTAAAGCAACAGTTTCAGTGCCATCCATTTTAAACTACAGGCGCCTGCACTATCTATTCTGAAGGCCTCAAGGCAGATTTCTTTGACCCTGACAACACATGATTGCTAAAATATGATTGAATGTCATGAAACAAGACATATCATGACAGAACATGTCATAGCTTTTCTCTTAGTTACGCTGCTTCCAGTAGTGTATGTTTATGTTAGAGCTTTTATCCATTTATAAAAAGCGTTGATCATTGTAGCCAATCACAGACATATCGGATGAGCTAATGAACACAATGGTCAATCAGAGGTGTTCACAATTCCTCTCAACAGCAATCGAAGCATCACATTTAAAACATTTCTTTACCTACTTGGTACCAAAGGCGGTACTTTTGACAACACAAGTCTCCATGCATTAAGGTTAACAAATTCATCTACATATGATTCTGTACAATAAATTTCCTATACACTTAATAGAAAAGGACTGGGTGACTAAAACTGAAAGGCTACACCCTTTAACTTCAATCAAACACATAGCCTGAAAGTGACATTTGCACAAGCCGCATAATCTGCATCTGCAATCACATGACTCGGCGACCTAGCCGGCAGCTGCATTGAATGCAGTCTAGTTTCCTACAGATATACTGACAATGAAAATATCCTATGTCTCAATAGTAATGGTCTGGTTCTCTACTTGGTATTGAATTAGGGATGCACCGATACCGGTATCTGGTATCGGCCTCGATACCACATTTTCTAAAGTACTCGTACTCGTTAAAGTACTCGTACTCGATACTGGGGACCGATACCATGTTCTGAGAAATGGGTTAATCACAGGCGCCGAGTGCCCACCCCCAGGCTCCGGCTGCAGCTCAGAGCGGGGAGATGGGGAGACATGTCAGCCGTGTGGAACAGTGATGCGCGGGTCAATGTATAAACAACCCGCACACTACCAACATTTTCAACTACCCGCCCGCTACTCGGACCGCAAAAAAAGTAAGAAAATATTGTACCCGACCCTCTTCCTGACCGTATTTTTTAAAAGTAGTACATGCTCATCGTAGCGTCATTGGGCCATAAATACTCGTACTCATTTTCCAAAAAAGTGGTATCGGTGCATCCCTATATTGAATGCAGATGTTCTAGTGTACATTACCTTTGTTGTGTACTCTGCACTCAGATTTTTAAAATGAAGCCAAAGATTGTGTCTTTTGAAAGTTGCAATAAAATTATTTACATTTTTAGGTGTGTCAAAAGGCCAAAAAAGAAAATGGACTGAAGATGAGGTAAAGGCGGTGGAAAACAAACTTCTGCATTTCATCACATCTGGCAGGGTACCAGGGAAAAGAGAGTGTGAAGACTGCATCAGGTCAGCTCCGGTATTGCTCCAGAATAGAACCTGGGAAGCCGTGAAATTTTACATAAAGAACCGAATTACAGCACTCAAGAGGGAGTGTGAGAAAAGAAAATAAGAAAATGTTAATGGAAGAGAAAAGTTAAGTTTTGCACTCCATCTTAACATGTTTACTGCGCTGCAGTGTGTCACTTCTCTCCTCACATATATGTAAATGCTCCTCACATATATGTAAATGCATTTGTTGTACTGTGGTACTTCATAAGTAAATGTTCAAAAGCTATGACAAATAAAGTTGTCAGGACTAATTTTGCCAAAGAATAATTTATTTTAATGCAATACAATTGAATGTATTGCAATGCAGTTGTGTTTAGAGTTGGCAGGGAGCATTTGCTGACCTGTGTCTGAAGAAATTTTAGGTGAGGTCCCCATTGTTAACCTTTTTAACACACACAGTGACATCATTAATTAGCATATCAAAACATGACATCACAGGTCCCCTGGGGGATCTTCTACCTGACTGGGTCCTCAGCAGGTTGTAAAATGTCAGGTCAGTCTTCTGGGGTTCAGACTCAAGTTTACAAGTGATGGCTGTTATAACAGCTGTAAATGGAGTGTGGATCAGTTTCAACCTTGTCTGTAAACCATTCACAAAGGGTGGTTCCCACCAGGCTGCATGCTGCCATGTGTCCCCACCCGGTAGCAAAGACAGGTATGTGTGTGTGTGTGTGTGTGTGTGTGTGTGGTTTACGGATCGAGAGTAACGTGACTTGTATTTGAAATCTCTGGTTGAGATTTGTATTTTTCTTTTGAGTTGAAGTATAATTGGATTGTATTTTCTTTTTTTTTCTTCTTGTTTAGTTATGATTTGAGTGTATTTTCTTTTTCTTTTTGATTGATTTATCATGTATGATGTGATTGTATCCTTTTTTTTTTTCGTTGTTGTTTATTTGTGATCTAATCTGTGAGCTTCGTCAGATTGGCTAGGAGTGTTGACTGCTCAGGTCCGAACTAATGGGTACCCTTGTTCACTGAGTGATTTTTGATTCTTTGAATTTGTTTGTCACTGAATTGCACGTGTGCTTGTGGTGAAATGAGTACATTAAACATACGGTTGAAGTGCTTGTAGTGAAGTAGAATTGAGTATGTTTGTTACCTCTGCTGCCATCTGACCTGTCGCCTTGGATTGTTTGATTGATTTTTTTGTTGATGTTCTTTATTTTGATTTGTTTGTTTTCTATTTTGATTTGAAGTCATATTGATCTGTGTGTTGAACTATGTGTGTGTGTGTGGAGCTTTGACTTTTAGTATAATAAAGTATTATTATTTTTTTCAAATTCACGTCTCTGCTCTATCTTGTGGGAACGAACCTGTGTCCTTAATGTCCTCATTTCCTTGGGTGAAATTCCCAGGGTGGCGTAGTCGTGCTGTATTATAGTTGAGTCCAGAGCAACGAAACCCATTCTTTAGGTGCCACAATCTGGCGTAGTCGGCAGGGTCCCACATTAATTTTTGGGCTGAGACGTGAATTTGTTTTGTCTTTGTATTGAGTGGAGTGAATGTTGTGTTTGTTTGTTTTTTTTTTGTTCTTTTGTGTGTTGAAGCAGGGCGGCGGTGTGCATATGAGCATCCTATTTCTCGTTGCTGGTAAGTCTCACTAATTTCTTAAAATGGAAGAAGAATTACGTGAACTGCGTGATTTAGTTTTACAGTTGCGAGCTGAGAATGAGAAGTTGAGGCAGGATCGGGCCGTCACAGATGCAGCGGAATTCAGACCTGGTTCGTCTAATGCGTCGTCTGCATCGCCTGCTGACCCTCCACCGGCAAATCCTGATGTTTTGGCTGAGGAGAGGTTTGTGTTTATACCACGAGATCGTAAGTGTCCCAAATTTAACGGTAGAGTGGGAATGGGTATAGACGAATGGGTTGACGAGGCGGAGGCTTGTATGAGGGTTCGTCGTATGTCTACTGCTGATCGCGCATTCTTTTTATTTGATCATTTGGAAGGGGAAGCCAGGGAAGAAATTCGTTATCGCTCAGCAGTAGAGCGGGAAGACCCAGATAAAATTATCTCAGCGCTGCGTGAATTGTATGGTTGTTCCCAGTCTTATGTGGCTTTACAGGAGGCAGCATGAGGGAGAAACCCTATTAGAGTTTTCTCTGGCACTCATGGGGCTGCTAGAGAAAGTTAAACAGCAGTCGCCTAATGGTTTGCCAAACGCTGATTCTTTATTACGAGATCAATTCGTTGAACATGTACGGGAGAGTAATCTCCGTCGAGAATTGAAACAGCTCGTTCGTCGTCAGCCAAATTCCACCCTACTGGAAATGCGAAGTGAAGCTATACGATGGGAACTAGAGGGGACCCCGGGGGGTGCGAGAGGTCATAGCCATTCGGTTTCCGTCGGTTCAAGGCTTCCAGTATGGGGTGGGGGGAGGTGCACAGACAGGGAATTGGTGTGTATTGCCAACATTCTGAGTTGAGCGAATTAAGAGAGATGTTTAAGGCACAGCAGAAACAGCTTGAACAGCTCACCCAAAGCGTAACAAGGTTGCAAGGACCATTACCTCGCATTTCATCTGCTCGTAGTGGCCCGATTATATGTAGGCGATGCATAGGCCAGGGCACATTGCAAGAGAATGCGTTGGGGAACGAGTAGCCCCCCATTCTAGGGATCCACCTCGTCATGCTGATTTGCCAACGGGTGGTAGGCAATCTCGTTTTGGGCAGCCGTCGGAAAAACTAGTCCCCGCCGGGTCGAGGAGCCACGAGTCGGTTGGGAAGAATTGGGGCTCAGAGATAGATGATAGTTCACGCTCGTTACCTAAATTGGTGTCTTCATGTCCCACTTAGATGTTCATATAGGTGGTGTGGCTGTGTCTTGTTTAATAGACACTGGTTCAATGGTGTCTACGATTACGGAGACCTGTTTTCGTAGACATTTTTGAACCTTGGGGGCAAGACCGTTTAAAAGTCCTGTCAGTGGCTGTTGCTGCGTGCTGCGAATGGGCTGTTTGGAACTAGACATTGAATTATGTGGGCATTTAGTACCTAATGGTGGCATTTTGGTCGTTAAGGATCCCCCAGGAGGCATTGGTGTCCAAGCCCCTGGCGTATTAGGGATGAATGTCTTGGGGAGGTGCTACCAACGGTTGTTTGGGGAACACGGTACAGCACTTTTCAATTTCCCTTCTGTGGCTACAGTTCCTTCCTTTGTGAGGCAGGCCCTGCAACAGTGCCATCAGGTAAATACTCGCACTTCTCCTAGTTGTTCAGGAAAAGTTAGGGTGCGGGGCCCACGGACGCAGCGAGTGATGGGTGGTACTATTACGATGATAGCAGCGACCTGTTCAGAACGATTTGCGGATGGAGTAGTGCTCCTGGAGCCCCCTGAGTTCGGATTGCCGGAGAACCTGTTGGTTTCGCCTGCATTGGTTCACGTTGTTAAAGGCACGGTCTACGTACCAGTAGTTAATGTGGGTACTTTAGATGTTACGCTTTTTCCACGCAGGGTTTTGGGCGCTTTAAGTAGTGTACATGTGGTCAGTTTACCCGCAGGCGTTACCGAAGTTCGGTCTGACGCCATTGCTGCAGGTGTGCCAGTTGTTTGTCCTTCAGAGCAAGCACAGATAGATGCAGTTGCATTGGGTGCATTACCTGACGAAGAACAGACTCAGGTTAGGACTTTGCTGAAGCGGTATCAGTCCATTTTCGCTGTTAATGAAAGTGATTTGGGGTGTACAAATCTCATCTCTCACGACATTCCGTTGGTAGA